ATAATGACACACATGCACGCCATTCGAACTGGCATCAGAAATGACATCAGTGAAAGTGTGGCTGTCAAAAAGCCATTCTTAAGGAAAACTGGGAGAAAAGGCTGAACTGTTCCTGAAGACTACTTAAAGAAATGATTAAAAAAAAAGTTTGCCTACAAGGGTTCAGGCTATGTTGAAGAATAAAGGTGGTCTTACCACATTTTCACTTTCAAGCTTGTTAGAATTGTACAAACTCACATTGCACATTTCAGTAAATCAATCTATTTTTCCAATTTTCGAGCAAAACATAAAGACAGTACTGTATGTTCCAGAAACATTGCTCTCTAACAATTCAAGTCATTAAAAAAAATAGCAGAATAACTTTAAGGCATAGTCGTGTGTGCATGTCAAACTGTCTTTGAACACATTTCAAATTTGTACTAACTGAAAAACTCGATATATTGACCTTTTTGTGAAAAAGTTCTGCACGAAAGATGGGGAATTAAATCAAATGTCATGTGCAAGTTTTATTGACTATATAATAATAGCAATTCAAAGCCGTTTATCAAGTACCAGCACCCCAACCGAGATCTAGTGTACTTCCTGCAGCGTACTACTGTGTTTGCCGCTCGTCAGTCAAAACCCCTCTGATTTGAAAATTAAATCTGTGAAAGAAGAGAGCTACTGACTGGCCTATGCCTAACATGTGCAGGAGACAGAGGTCAGTAACTCCATAGACGGCAGTCTATTCACAAGGAAGATCTTTTTAATTAGACTATGTTCTTTTAATTAACCAGCCAGCATAATGTCTGTGTCCATTTGTCAGCCCTTTACAATGCTTAGCGGAGCAGGGTGGAAATACCTTCTTTTGTCTCCTCACTGTTTCAGAGATCCCTGCTTCCTATTATTATATATCATTGTTCACTGAAATGTATTTTTTCTTGTCTTTTAGATTAGCATGATAATACCCCCATGGAGGGGAGGAAAAGTGGTGAAGAGCTATTGCAGGACTGCTCGTCAGGCTCACTGTGTGCAAGACCGTGGTTATTATCATACTGAATGCACCATCAGTTAAGCTAACAGCCTAAATTTCGACATTTATCTCCAATATCATAGCCTGACTGTCAATTGCATAGGGAGCACTATGGTAAATTACAGGTTATGTCTTGCTCCTTGGAGCCTGGATCGTTCCCCAGTGTAATTACGTTATGCTAATTCTGCCCCCCATGTACTTCCCATGACAGAAAGAAGGCTTTCCAACTGTTCAGATATTAAGTAAAATATGAAGGAATAAATGTGGCGATTTACGCTACGGCATTGCTCGCGAAACCCGAGCACACCCCTTGTTTCTCCATGGAACTCTAGGGGATGGAGGAAAAGGCTCAGCTAGAGCTTGTAGCCATGTTTCCATAGACCGGTTCAGCTGCAGGTCAGGCCACCTTGAACTCCTCAGCTGGAATTATTGTGTCAGAGGTGGACAGGGTCAGGCCACGCTCCTCCCTTCAACACAAGGACTTTGTTAGTGTCGGACACGCAGCAGACACTGGCAGCACAAATCCCTGTCACGCTCTCGGAGTAGAACCCTGCATGGGTCAGAGGTTGTGTGTTAAGGGGGCATCCCCATTTCATGACCTGAATACTGATTGATTTCCTTGAATGGCTATCAAGGTAGGGGGCCTTGCCTAGTGATTGCAGGGACTGGTCAAACCACTTACCCTTACCCCATGTGGCGATTCGCAGTGAGAGAATGCGGTACAAGGGAAGGGAAAAGCCACTCTTTGTCACAACATGCGCAACTCCTCTGCTCAACTGTGTACCTCAGCGGGCGTATGTTTTCACTTTCCCTGAAACAAGACACTAGACCACATGTTTCCCTTTTAATAGGCAGCTGAGTGAGGAAAGGGCAGGAGTGTGGTCTGTTTGCCATTTGGTAGAAGATGGACGAGGCAACACTCCCTAGTTCCTCTGATAGATTTATTAGTTGTTCAAAATTGCACAACTGCAGTGGCCATTGACCGTTATATCAGTCATTCAATTAGCGGTGTTCAAAGTGCTTGACAGTCACCTAAAAGGCTGAACAATTTTCTTTATTTTCACAGCCAGACGAGTAATTAATCATTCCTTTCAGTAACCATGTTCTGGTAAACACTAACCAGAATATGGCAACAATGCTAAAGTTGGAATAAACAATAAACAAAATCAAAGGCATGATAAAATGAGCCCTTCAATTACTGTAAACTTCAGAAAGTTTTCACTGACTTTGTTTACCATAAACTGAATTTGATCTGTTAAAATGACTAGCACAGGGAGAGCAGAATAATGCACAGAACTGTGATTATGACTAAAAAGTTCATCCTTATAGAGTATCTGCAGTGGGACAATGCCATTTAAATGTCTCCCATCTCCTCAAGTGAAAAAGAAAGGTCACAAATAAGACTGAAACATGGCACTCATCATCACTATAAAACCTCATGATCCCTTGTACTGATGGGAAACCCTTTAAACCTGAGTTTCCCCCATCAGGGTGGATTTGATATTTGAAGTTGGCTTGTTTCTGCTTGAGGAAGCAGCACAACATGTCCTTGTGTCCTTTTACTGAACTACTAGTAAGTGAACACATTTAACAATGTTGTCAATTGTTCAACTAAAAAAATAATCTTACCCATTGTTATGATTTTGGTTGATCATGTTGTTAATGTCTGTGTAAATTAGTTGTAAAACGGCCTTATTGACAAGAGCTTGTGTATTAAAAAAAAAAAAAAAGGTGAGAATAAGTTCAATGTGTGATTGGCCTAAATATTTTAGTGGCTTTCAGCTTTGAGTCATCACACGAATTGTCACAGACCAGATCATACACTCTGGAGTGATATGAAAAGTGAATAAAAAAGCAAATAAATATTCCTACAGCGAACTCGGATGATTAACCAAAGGCTGAGAGTTAGAGAAGATGTGAGTGTTCACACTGAGGCTTTTTGCTTTCCGTGCAACCTGAAAGTTTGTGCTTTTTAGTATAATTAAATAGTAATTAAGAACTGCTAATCACTCCTCCCCACCATTGATCTGAAAAAATGTGCATGTGGTGTGTTTTGTTCATTGGAACTGAGAAATAATGGTGTCATCTCCAGTCTCATTGTGGTGCATTTCTTTACTTTGGTCACTTGAAAAGTCGTTCCCCAGGCGTGAGCTTGGAGGAGTCGATATATCCGTAATTGATTCTTTATACTGAAATGACTAAAAGCTTGAATTTGCCAAAGCAAGCAAATAAGAAAACAAGTAAACATCCAGTCCAGAGATGAGGCATCAATTTGATTACTCCTTCAGCTGTAGCTCCCAGTTGTGGTTTTGAAATTATTCTATTAGAAGGATCTAGTTTATGGGTTTTATTAAGAGCTGAGTGTGAGCCCAGACTAGTCTAAAGTTCTAATGATCAGGGATTCTCTTTCATGCTCGTCACACGCTCAGGACAGATTAATATAACACTAAGAAGAAAAATCTCCAGTACTTCTCTTTAATGTCAGGGCTTATTTTTTGATTTTTTTGTCAGTATTGAAAATGCAATTTAAACCGTTTGCAACCTTAGGTAATATGTTTGATATTTTATATATTTATGTAGCAATTGCCACACAATACTGAGTTGTATATTTTGTGGCAATTGCCCCCCATTTCTAGACATGTTGCACGAATCTACCAGATGGCCTGATGTATGGTATTTAAATCTTCCTTAGTTCTGGTAAAAACACAAGAACACAGTACTGAAATCTTCTAGACGCATTTAGGGGCAATTTAAAGTCTTGAAAGTGCACCAGAGATAGCTTTGTAGCTCAGGCAAAGGAATTTGTTTTCCACAAGCCCTTATCTTCCTTTTGAAGTTTTGTGTTTTTTCTCAGACAGTATTGTAAGTTCCAACAAATACCAAACACAGATCCTTATTGTCAACATACCACTGATGCAAGAAAATAATGACCGCACGCCTAATGGTGTCACAATAGCTGGTATAGGCTGTTACTGATGCACAGCAGTTCTACTTTCCATTTGGGACTTGTGGTCCTTTTGTCAAAACAGTGAGAACTTGAGAGAGAAGAAAATATGCTGGCGAGCTGGCTATGCCTTAACCTTAACTGAACCATCATCAGCATGTGGCTGCCAGCTGGAGTGTTTGCTAATCCAGAGGATGCTGCCTCTGCAAGTCTTTCTGGGCTCTGCTACTTGAAATTTGCAGGGTGTAAAGGTCTAAACCTCAGTCATCACCATTTGTCTGAATTAATATTGGGACAGGTGGAGATCCAACTAGGTCATTATATTACACAGTATTTCACAAAAATGCTTAATAGTTATTGCTGGTTTAATAATTGAGACTCTACATACTCCCTATGGCTATATGATAAAGCAAATTAAATACTTTTGCTATAGGATCAGGAACTACATCCTTCTAAAAGAAAGATAATCACTTGTCAACTTTTATGCATCAGTGACTCAGAATTTCACATTTTACATTTCAGCTTTCAGCTCAGATGGAATGTTTTTTGTTTTTTTGTTTTTTGTTTTTTTTTTGGTAATATCAGGCTGTATGAAGCTCTGTTTAGGTTTGTGCACTGGCAAGGTGAAGACGTTTTTTCTGGGAGCAGACTGCCAGAGCAGATTGTGAGCTGAGATGCCATCATCAGATTTGGCAAGTTTGGGCTCTTGGATTTGTCAAAAGATTTTGTTCACTTATTGCAAAAGCAACCTGTTGTCATGCGAACAGCATTTCCAGCAACGTCTTTTCCTCAGAGTTCAAAGCAAGTTGATTCACATTTTCATTTCACATTCTGGCATTTTTCTGATGAAAGTGAATAGGACACCCAGCAATGGATACTTGTCATTGTTATCTATACTTTGGAGTTTTAGAGATTTGTGATGGAGAATACAACATGACTACTATGACTGTTTTTCAAGGCTTAGGCAGCATCACCATAAGCTGTCCTGCATTATGTCTGAGATGTACACAGATCTAAGAGGCATCTCCTATTTTTCATTCACAGATTCACTGACAGCTGGAGTGTGTACCAAGCTGGTCTAGTTACCTGTTTGGTGGATCACTGGATTCAGCAGAGTGTTTGAAAAGTTAAGGTAAGCTTTGCCGCTTCTTTCTAAAAGTGTGACTTTCTAAATGGATCCAATGTAATTAAAAGTTAAATAAGATTTGATTTGATGAGGCACGGAGTCACTATTCACTGATCTTTCAAATGCAGTATTTAGATTGAACTGAATATATGTGACAGTGAAAGTTCTACTTTCATGAGGCATCTACAGAGGACACTTAATTAATGGATGGTCTATGGAAACAGTGCTACTGCTGCTTTTTTAAAAATAGGTGATTGAGCATACAGCACTGTATCTATCTAATTAATTTAATCAAAGGTAAGGAACCAGCTTTAACACATTTGCCATACAGCATTATCCAAGGACAAACTTAATTTAGTCCACTGGTTTTTAACTGGTGGGCTAAGCAACTGAATGAATATGCTATTTTTAGGTAAAGACTTTGCTGATAGTATTCCTTTATTCAATTAAAATATAATTTTTTTTTCTTGCAAATCACATAAATTGTGAGGTGTTGAGCATGAACTTTTTTTGTTTTCGAAATAGGGGGCATTCATAAATTTAGAGAACCTCTGATTTAGTCAGAGCGTGCATAAGAACCACATATTACAGTGATGCGTAGAAAGTGTGACGGACTGAGCTCATGGTTTGAGTTTGCAAGTTGTCAAAATTGCTTGAGTGGTCAAGATTTCTATATTTCTGTTTTTGCTCTCACTGGTTTGAATTTGATGAAGCTCTGTTAATGGCAGTTGTTGAATTTGATGACATATGGGACTGTTTGCCTACATTGCCAGAAAATGAAAATATAGAGTTTGTCAGATTGCACAGCGCATTTGTTAGAATGGACAGATGGGAAATGGTTACTTTAAATCAAGAAGTTTTGGTTCCTTATGTTGATTTAGAGTGCTCATCATCACTGTTACTTAATGTCCTCAGGGGGAAAAATGTCCAAAGTCTCTTCATTCATCGATACTCGATAATTGCAAATTGGCACATGTCTGGTGTTGACCATGTCAATGTTTTCTGGTGCTGTGAGCTCTGTTGTCAGGTAGACAGGTAGTCAATGGGGAGAACAACTGAACAAATGCATCAGAAACTTGTAGCATCACTGAAAAGCTATTGTGTCTGGCCAAGCATTTCCCTTGTGAGCTTGAATGTGGACAGTAGAGGACAGGGCCAAGGAGTGCCGATGACAGGATGCCTCATGGGAAGGCTGGAGACAGATGGCTGGCCAGATGTAGCCCTGCTGTGACCTTGAAGGCATCTGAAGGTAAAAGCATAAAATGTCTCAAAAATGGCAGACAGAACAGCAAAGAAATGGGAGTGTTTTGTTGTGGTCTTCTCATGAGCTGTTTTGGTTTTTAGACTCGTTGTTATGTTCTTTGTTCTATTAGCATGTCATCATTTATGCTCCTAATTTTCTTTGCGGTGAGCTGAAGTTTTTGTGCACATCCGGTTTATTTTTTAGCTCACACTGTTGAGGGATTATTAGACACACGAGGCACTCACTTAGTTGTGCAGCTTTACGTCGAAAAACTTTTCTAGCAACCCTAAGAGTAAGATCTGATGTTGCAGGGAGGTAAAATTACTCAGGTTTCAGTTCATAGTCATTTTCACACATGTACTGCATACATTTTTGGAAGAAAAAGGCCAGCACACTGTGCACAATTGCCCTTTTGCACTTCAGGACCCACAGCAGGAGTTTTTGTCAGGCAAGGGTGCTGCCTCGGCAGAGTCTGCAGGAGGTAACCACTAGCTGGCTGTGAATTTGCTGAACTATTAACCATGCTGTTCCTGCATTAGTGCAAATCGTACAACACACAGACTTTGTACTATGCAACTCTCTGCATAAAGACCATTTAATGTATTTAATGTTCCAGCAAACTGTTTTGGATGTTTGCACCAGCATCAGAAAATGTCTAGAAAAGTACTGAACTGCATTGTATGTGTGAATACAGATGCATGATGGACTTATGTATGCTATTTTCCATAGTTTACGTTTACTGTTATTCATGCCAGTTAATAATAGACAAAGAAACTGAATGTAAACATAAGTTAAGAGTCTTGTTCATCTTTGCTGCACTGTATAATGTTGGGCTCTCTAAACACTGGGAAGTATCAGGTGTCAGCATGCACATTCTTAAACCCAGTGTTTAAAGGTTTCTGTGAGAATATCTTATTTGGTCATGTCTTCTTGATTCTCTCTGGATCGTGGAACTTTATTTTAAATTTGGAGTGAACTTTCCACTGTTGCTGGCTGAACAGTAGTGATTTTATGTCAATACTAGAAGAGACACACTCCTGATGCAATTCAAGCAGCAGACTGTGAAGCAAACGCCACCAGCAGCCCGATATTGTACAGGCCTCTGGGGCTTTGAGCACAGCAAAGGGACAGCCTTGATCAGAGCTGGGAACTGGATGGTGAGCTGAGGGTGGGGGGGTTGCTGTGAGAAATAAGAGGAGATGGAGGAGGGTAGAGGTGTCAGGCGAATAATTGGGGTGAGGAGATCTCAGGGGTGGATAGAGGGAAGCTTTATTAAGACCGCTCAAGTCTGATGTGCTTGCATGGCCGCCTAGCTCTTCCTCACACACCCACGCCTATGGGCCAATCCGCCGTTTCCACAAGAGACTCTGTAACAACAAAGGGATGAAGGCCAAAGTCCTCAAGCTCCTTTCAGTCACAGATAAGACAAAAGACCCCATTGCTTGAAAAGCGCTGATGGGAAAGCAGCAGTATATGGATCTGCCTTTTCTTTTAAACCAAGGCTCATTGTTGCTTCTTTTAAGCTATGCTGCTGTTACTTGCTGCTGTATTATATCCTGAGATCCTGTAGATTTACTAAGTTCGATGAGGTGCTGGTAATGTGTTTGTTGTTGTACCGTAACTGGTGAATGCTTGATAGTCTTTTTGAATTCCTCCGCTCGTAGAGGAAATGTCCTGACCTCTTTGCTAAGTTCCTCTGAAATGCACGCTTTTGTCATTAGCTCACTGTGACACATTTAGACACGTACTTAGCACAATGCACAATATGGTCTGCTTTTAATGCATTTTGTTTGTGATACAATGAATGCACAACTTGCAAATGTACAAGCTCAAAGTGCAGACAAATATTACCACTTAATATGGATAAAAGATGAGTAATCTCTTTTGTTTTGCCTCACAATGGGGAAAACAAACTTTCCAGGGTGACCGTGACCGATCGTATCAAGTGTGATGGTGAGATTAGGAGCTTAACTGCTTATTTTCCCCTGCTCTGTGAACATTGAAATGTTACTTTTGAGTCAATGAAGTTCCCATATCAATAATTGAATCCTTTGTAGATGCGTGCTTCCTTGAGTTTGGTATTCTGAAAATGTTTGCAGTTTCACAAAAGCAGATTTTTGTGAGTGACACAACAAGGATTTTGAGCTGAAGCAGGAGGCGGTTATGGGGAGAATTAGCGGCCTCCCCCAGTTCTCTGCTGTAAATTGGTTTCTGTGGAAGTCATGAAAAAGGGGGCTTGGAGGTCTGTTTTCTGCTTCCTTAGTAGCTTGCTAATCCCCCACGGCTCTGGCTGGAGGGAGAGCTTCTTGCACATATACAACCGTTGTGGAAAATGGCGTTTCTCCTCCTCCAGCCCTCTTTCGTCCTCTTTCCACTCGGTCCTGCAGGGCTTGGCTAATCCTCTGCCTGGTCATGGCAGGGAGATTGCAGCCTTTTTCAAAGCTGGCTGGACTTCAAAGTTACAAGGATACAGGGACTAGAGGAGGTGGGAGAAAATTGGGTCCACCGCAAGCAAAGACTGCAAGGGGTTCACCTCAGCTATTTCTTTTGCTGTTTATGAGGTGACACTGAAGAATTTGTGGTCTCAAAGGAGAGACTTTGTTGATCGTAAAGACAAGACCTTAGAGGTGGTGGCTTTTTTGGATTATGATTTCTATATAAAAAGAAAAAACAATACCCTTATGCAACAATGTGGGGCACCAACATGCAAAGTAATAATAGACACACAATTGATGCAAGATTCGTGATAAAAACACTAAAAGCTTATGTATGCCTTTACCTCTTTAGAAAATCAATCATGTTAGGTTTTTTTTAACTTTTGTAAGAACTACTGCCAAAATGCACAACGAAAAGGGAAGTGGTATTTTTTTTCCCTATTATTTTAGAAAGTGTGTTTACTTTGAAAGATCAATAGATTTTGAACTCTTTTCTCTACGCGTTCCTTTTATGTTGGCCGAGTCTTATCAGGTTGTCATCAGTTTAGCATTGCCCAGTTGGACTCACAGGTGCTCAAGATTTTGGTTCTGTCATTAGACTAGTCTTTGTTAGAGCTTCAGCACTGATGTTTTGTGCCAGTTTTTTTTTTTTTTTTGTCCATTACTCTTTATTCTGCTGGCAAATTGTCTAATTTGCTGGAAATGCCTTTGAATGCTGATCCTTTGTTAAATTCTCAGATGACAGAGAGATTAGAGTGAGATCATTCCAGATGAAGAAAAATGTCTGCTATTGAAATTTTGTGTAGTAGTGTGTAGTTGGCTTTGTGATGTGTTGACAAGCACTACGCATGTTCACTCTGAAAAGTCAGACGGGAACTTAATTTGCATGTGAGTTTGCATGTGTGTTGCGACACACATCTCGTGGCAACAAAGCTCTTTGCATCCTTGAAGCCATAATGTCTCAGTTTGTGTTTAAAAATGCTTTTTTACTACTTGGAATAGATTAATATAATGAAATTGAGAAAAATGAAAGACACACTTCAAGGATATACTTTTAAAATAATTCCAATTCTTATTTGCCAATGTCAGAAATCAGTTTTAAGTAGTTTTACATAAGTCTTGATAGAAATTACTCAAAATGGCTTGTAAATCCCTTTTTTTTTTCTTTTTTTTTTCTTTCTTACAGACTTACTTGGTATTTCAGTAGACTGCTGATCCCAGCTGTCCTTTAATTTAAGAAAATATTGGCTAAAAACAACCCAAGAAAAAAACCGAGTCAATGGTCACACTGTATTTCGTCTTTCTTTAAGCTACTCAAACCCTTTAGG